GTCACGCGATGGGAACTTGGCTGCATTGGACAACCACCGCGTATATTTGCGGTGCGTTTTCCGTAATCTGTTGGATCGTCTGTATCTGCTCGCAAGAGAGTCCATTGTGGCTACTTGGTAAAGGGAAAATTGAGGAGGCAAAACGCTCTTGGATATACTTACGTGGAGTAGAATCGCTCGAAGAGTTCTTCTTAATGAGAACCACCATGCTCGCGGAAGTATCAGAACGGAAAACCGGGAAACGATTGTTACTGCGTTCGCTTAGAAAGACGTGGTCTTCGCGATATTTCTTGAGACCTTTCGGCATCGTCTGTCTGTACTTCTTTATCCTGCAGTTCTCGGGCAACAACGTAATGACTTTCTACTGTGTCGAGCTGTTGGCAAACATCTCGGAGCCGGCGTACGCATATCTGATAACACTTATCATCGATGCGATTCGTCTGATATTCGCCGTCCTCACAAACATTCTTTTGAAAACAAGCCGTAGGCGTACCTTGACATTCATCTCCAGCTTTGGCGCAGCTATCACCATGCTATCTTTGAGTGCGTGTTTGATATTTGATATTGGAAGACCCTGGAGTTCCGTGATTCTACTCATCATTTACATCGGGCTTCTATCACTGGGAGTGATGCCCATACCTTGGATTTTATCCGGTGAATTGTTTTCGAGGAAGCACCGTGGGCTCGGTTCCGGAATAACATCTAGTTTTTGCTTTATGTGTTTTTTCGTGGTGATCAAGACGATGCCGCTTATGATGAAACGTATAAAACCTGAAGGTATATTCGCCGTTTACGGATTCTTGACATTGATCGGGAGCAGTATTTTATACTTTGTTCTTCCGGAAACTAAGGACAAAACCTTGCAGGAAATTCGGAAATATTTTGACAAGAAATCTCACACATCGAAAGCAGAAAATGCGAATGTGCCACTTCAAGAGTGTGTTTTTTCCGAGAAAAACGAATTGGATAAAGAAATGCCGCTTGATAAATAACGATTACTTAATGAATAAGTTACCGACTATAACATGTATCTTCAAATATAGGAAGATATTATGATAATTCATATTAATATACGATACTTGTATTTATATGCGACGTAGTTCGAATAGAAAGTATTATAGATTTTATTTTGCGGAATTGTTTCTTGGGCCACTTTCTGACAAGAATCTGTATTGTATTTGCATGAGAAAGTAGACACGTCACATATTACGTTTTCTCTTTTCGTTGTTTTTGAAAAATGTTCATAATTTGTAAATTGAAACTTGGACGTTGAGATTACTGGACTATAGCTTGCGACGATGATGTATTTGACGGTAATGTGACTACACTACCGCAAGCAATTTCGCATAAGTGACGACGCGACGCATTCTTTGACCGGATATATTTCGGTCGTGCCGTAAAATTAACCGATGCGTCGAAATAATGACTCTGCGGCCGTCGTCAGAACGGAGCGGCGAGAGCAATAGAAATTTAACGGCGAGCCTTGCCGGCATGACGGACCGTAAAATTGCGTTCTCACGTGATTATTGCTCGGACCACTTACCGCAGCTGATGGAAATTACGGTTCGTTCTCGGCGGTTCGCGTGACGTTTTGCGGGCCGCGCAATGACTTAGACGCGTACGCAAGTGAAATATGATGGCAGTGCTGTCGGGGTTATTAAAATGCGAGGAATCTTGATTCATTGTCCTTCGTCGAGATTTAAAGGTGATGAGAATAAAGATTGTTTCCAGTTTCCGGTTGATAGATCTATCTGCAACTGCATGTAATACGTGGCATACATACGTATAGGTATTAAAGTTTCTCAATAGGAATGTCACGTCTTTAATT